ATATACGCAATCTTTCTTTATTCATACAATCTTTATTCGTAATTATGTATTTGATCAATCATTGATATTAATTGTTTTAAAACTTTACTCTTTATTAACGTCAATCATTATAAAATCAAAATTAAACCACCTTGCCATCCTTAACAATTCTCATACTAATCAAATTGTGTAGCTTCTAAACCACAAATTAAAACAATTCAATGAATGACAACCCAATAAATTATTACAAATGAAAATTTGATATAAAAGAATGTATTGATTATTGATAAAAAGAAAAGATATGTCAAATTCTATTGATATAAAGCTATAGAAAGAAGGAAACATGTATATTCCAGGAAAATCCAAACGTTCGCAAAATGTTCGAGTCGACTAGTCGAAATGATTATTCGGAAATAAGTGAGATACTGAAGGGTGTGTGATGTAAATTGAAGATAAAATTTTGTAAAATGTTCTGTTAAATGTTCATAAAATATATTTCGTTCGTAAATCATAAATCATAGAATATATTTCGTATCCAGTTCATCGGCGAAATCCATAACTAAAATTTTTTGATCTTGACTTGTGCTGATAAGTTGATATTTTAAAGATTTAGTAAAAGTCGTTGATTGATATTATAAAGAAACTATCAAGTATGAATAATATTATAAAATAAATGTATATATTTACCTAACAATTTTTGTTGAGCTAAATTGAACATCAAATACCCAACTTGTGTGACCTTCTTTAAAATCCAATAATTGCTTTCCCGTTTTTAATTCCCAAACCTTAACAGTCTGATCATAACTTCCACTAACAATCTTATCTTCATCAAAATGTAATGTTCTAACTAAATCAGTGTGCCCCTCTAGTGTACGAACACATTGTGCAGTTTCGACGTCCCAAATTTTAATAGTTTTATCATTAGAACCCGAAACTACCCATTTGCCATCAAATTGAACACAGGCCAACCCTCTTGTATGGCCAATAAAGTCCTTAAGGAATTCACCACTTTCTAAATTCCAGAGTTTAATTAAAGCATCACCTGACGCTGATATAATCCTATTACCGTGAAGTTGAACAGCATTAACAGGTCCACGATGACCTGTTAAAGTACGAAGACATGTACCTGTATTTATATCCCAAACTTTAATTGTACTATCTTTCGAACAAGAAACAATATAAAAATCATCGAAACAAATGTCCAAAACGCCTGCGGAATGACCCGTGAGGCGTCGTAATTGAATTACAGAATTATTACCCTTTGGCATACCAACCCTCTGCATATCCCAAATAATAATAGTTTTGTCACTAGAACCCGAAACCATAATCTTATCATTGTATTGTAAGCACAAGACAGATAACTCATGACCAAATAATGTTTGAAAACATTCACCAGTTTTAATGTCCCAGAACTTAATGGTTTTATCGCGCGATCCTGTTACAATTTTATGTTTGTCAAATTGTATACAGTATACGCTGTCCGAATGACCATTAAGATATGTCTTTTCACAATCGCCTTTTTTCCATCGCATTGCAAGAATATGTCTGTTTCTGTACAAATCCTTCCAAGTGACTTCACCCGCAAGTGTTGCTTCGCGCGGTATGGAAGCTTTCCAACCTTTATTTGCCATATACATGCCACGCCAAAGTTCATTATCTTGAGATATATATTTCCATGTACGAGACACTCGTGACATTCGACATAAGGTCTGAAAATTGACGAATACAAGTATATATGCAGCGATTTCATATGGAAGTTTAATTAGAAAATCTAATATTAAAATATAAAGTAAACATCATAAAATATATAGTTTTTGAGATTAATAATTGAAACCCATAGTTAACAAACATGAAACATGCAAAAAAGGTTCGAATACAAATTTTAAGTACCTATTTTAGTAGCCGAATCTTCGACTGTATAAAAACCTTCATCTTCGACTTCTGAAAAATTCGGATGGTATTTTGTGGGTGATAATTGTCGACGAGTGATGGCTCTATCTTTCGAATCATCATTGATATTTTTGGCGAAGATTTTATTAAAAAATCTTGATTTACCAAGTAAGGTATGTCTTGGACTTTTCATTTTTTTTTTTACTGTCATAAAATAATTAACAAGGATAATTGGGCATATAAAGTTTTTTAAAGGGTTCAATATTCCAAATAAATGTATATTTTTCTTGTCTGACGTTCCAAGTTAAATTTATTTTTTTATTCCTTTTTGTCAGCGATTCACAAAAAAGAAAAAAAAAACCAAAATTGGAAATCAGAAAGCTGAAAAGAATTGTCTAAATATTTGTTGGCAAGAAACAGGAGAGTACTAACCTTAGGTATTATTCGAAAATATCAATGACTTACGAGAACAAAAGTGTTCTAAATGGTTTTGAAATGATCGACTAGACTTGAAGACTTTAGTTAATAAGTGTTTGAAGTTCGTTTAGTTCATTTAAGCACTATCTAAATTTATATTAAATATACAGTATATTACGTAACCGACAATTTGAAAGTTAATCATTGGTACAGCTAAATTGTACGTATGTACGTATGCACCTGTAATGATAATGAACAAACCTCCAATACGATGATTTCACGTGATCAAATATCACACAAAAGGATAAGGCAAAGAAGGGACTGTCTCCACTCCAGACTATCGGTAGAGTCTGACTCGATGAATAGTATATTCAAATATTCGAATGTTTGAATATATAATTGTTTCACTAAATGAATATTCGAATATATTCACCAAAGAATTTAATGAATATTCAATGAATATATATTATTTAATTAACTAATTTAAAATACAGAATAAGAGATTGATATACAGTATTATATAATAATTATGTATTTTGATTAATTTGTATACACTATAGTAAAACTAAAATAAAATAAATTTTTATTAGCTAGAAACAAATTAGGTTATTTATTTATTAAATATATATAGCTTATAAATATAAAAATTATTTGTTAGCTTATTTCTGATATATTTAAAATTAGCAATCAATTTAACTTTATAAAATTATTTTAATTTATTATTCTGAATTTTTTGACCGACATAGCAAAAGCTGATGTGATTATTATTCTTGTGAATGAAAAAAATACATTGTTTTCCAAATATTATGTTGATATGAAATTACAAATCTTACATTTCGTATATAGTATCGCATTACAAAATCTATTAAATCAATTTGCTTTTACTTTTGCTTTTCCATTAGCTTTGAGTTCAGCCTCTCTCTTTAGTCTGTAGGCTCTGTACTTTAAATCAGTGCCCATTAAATAATCCCACCATCTAAACGAAGTAGAAAAACAATTAACAAATGCCATATGATGATAATCGTGATGCTCAGCACCAGCCCAGAACGGAATGAAATGACGAAGAGACCATGGAAAATCTTATAATATAGTGAAAAAAAAAGAAAATTAAAATTTTACGAACGTAAAGAAAAACAAAAGTACTTTTATTCGATAGAATCGCATCCAATTACCATAGCCAGAATGCGCATCAATAGCTTGAAACAGGCGTAAACTAATCCAAATGAAAACGGTAATAAGGTGAAGATCATGAGTAATCGAAACCCACAAAAGCGGACCTCCAATAGTTCCAGTGCCCAAAATAATTACTTCAAGTGGATGAGCATATTCAGCCGCCTAAAATTTAATATAAGTCCTTGTTAAAATTCTGCACATTATCAATCTATGTAATTTTGTTGTAAGCCTACCAATCCGAAAGGAGCAGAATATTCATGATGTTGTTTATGAATATGTTTATAAAAAGGGCCGTAATGTAATAAACGATGAAACCAATAGTGGAATGTGTCCTCAAAAACGAAAAACACGGCCACTTGGAATGCTAATTTCTGCCAGTGAGGGAATGGAACTGTGGTTATTTCCATTCCAAAGATTGTGGCCACGGGATGAAAACTAAAAATTAATGGAAGTTCGATACAAAAGTGAGCAAAAAGAACAGATTTAAGGCATTGCCATTGTTCTTCTACTGTATTAGGTTTATTCTATTCATGGAAATAAATGATGTAACATATTAACGATCTAATCATGAATTAAAATTTTGAACGATAATAATTAATGTAGATATATGCTCGCTTACAGCTTGAAGCTTATATTTTCGAAAAAAGGGTATAAGGTCTGCAATCCAAAAAGGTACACAACGTCCAAAGTAAACAATTTCATGCATAAGGAAAGCTATTATAGCGGTGGCAATAGCCTCATTTTCGAAAGAATTAAACCAAGCAGTCCAAGCTTTTTCCACAAAATTGAGGTTTGGCGAGGTGGCATTAAGATTATCGTGAAAAGACCTGCATAAAAAAGTAATTTAATTCTTCGTCCAAATAACTCTTCAAATTAACATTTTTTGAATTTATATTATTTACATTTTGAGTCACTACAAAAATAATAAAGACCAAGAAATAAAATAGGCAAACTTCTAATCTTAACGTTAAATAAATAATTGGTTACACGAACATTAATTTGCTCTAACAAAATAATTTTTTTCCGCTTCAAGATGAATTCTCTATCATGCGTAACTGGTAATCCATGTCGATACCTTTTTTTTTTGATCGAAGCACAAGATCAAATTTCTATAATCATATATAATCATGGAATTAATAAGAAGTTTTATATCACGTATATATATAAATAGTATTTTAAAAAATCGATCTGCATTATTTGTCACGCACGTTAGGTCTATCATGTGAACAAGAATCTACTTAGAATGCCGCTGATTGACCGCTCCTTAAAAAAACTGCCTGTAACCCCAAATTTCGTTCTAACAAAAAATTTTTGTGGCTAAATTAAATATGAACTCTACACTGTCGCACCCGATACTTTTTATGGCTTTTAATAAACCTTATAACACCGAACAATAAAACGTATCGATATAACTTGTTTATATGGACTAGGTGCTGAGGAAAGGAACCAAAATTGGGGTCGGATTATTCCGAACAAAACGACAAAGACAAAAAACACGAAAATATAAAAAATGTCTATCTAAATTGGTCTTGATGCACTAAGTAAAGTGTCGGAAATACGATTTTACTATATATCTACCCTAATATTAATTAAAAATCGGAAAAACCGGAAGGTGCCAGGCTTTAAACGTCCCCCAAAATTGACAATTTTTGTTTTGAACTTATTAACTAATCCAAAATTAGCCCAG